GTGAGATGTGATATTTGTATGTTGTCAGCCCTTGAACTGGTCCTCGAGGGTAATTTGCCAGGCTGGTAGTAACCACTTACACCCAAATACTAAATAAAGGATATTAAATGAGTGTAGATTCAATACTGAATTTATTGAATGTGTTGAATAAAAACATTTTTCATTTACACTCCTATAGTGTAACCCAAACATTTAGCGTGACTTAACACTGCATAACGTGAATGACTTCACATCAAAATATATGCCTGGCTTAGCAATACCGCTTTTATGGAGTTGCAAAAGCGTTTTATTAGCTCACCTGTCACAAAGTGACAGGGTGAGCTTTTGTGATCGCTTTTCGTCCGGCGTCCGTCTGTCCGTAATTTTCCTTTAAATGACATCTCCTCACAAACAACTAACCCAATTTCATCCAAACTTCACAGGAATGTTCCTTTGGTGGTCACCTTTAAGAATTGTTCAAAGAATTTTATTCCATGCAGAACTCTGGTTGCCATGGCAGCCGAAAGAAAAACTTTAAATATCTTCTTTTAAAAAAACCCAAAGAGCTAGAGCTTAGATATTTGGCATGAAACATCTTCTAGTGAGTGTCTACCAAGTTTGTTCAAATAAAAGCCCTGGGGTCAAAATTGGCCCCACCCCAGGGGTCATTGATTTTCCCTATATGCATATAGTAAAAACTTAAAAAATCTTCTTTTAAAGAACCTAAAGAGCTAAGATATTTCGCACGAAACATTTTCTAATTGGACTCTACCAAGTTTGTTGGGGTCAAAATTGGCCCCGCCCCAGCAGGTCATTGATTTTCCCTATATGCATATAGTAAAAATTTGAAAATCTTCTTTTAAAGAGCTAGAGCTAAGATATTTAGCATGAAACATGTTCTAATGAGTGTCTACCAAGTTCAAATAAGAGCCCTGGGGTCAAAATTGGGCCCGCCCCGGGGGTCTTTGATTTCCCTTATATGTGTATAGCAAAAACTTAAAAGTCTTCTTTAAAAAAAACAAATAGCTAGAGTTTAGATAATTAGCATGAAACATCTTCTAGTGAGTGTCTACAAAGTTTGTTCAGATAAAAGCCCTGGGGTCAAAATTGGCCCCGCCCCGGAGGACATTGATATTCTTTATATGTATATAGCAAAAGCTTAAAAATCTTCTTTGAATAAACCCAAATAGCTAGAGTTTAGATATTAAACATAAAAAAATCTTCTAGTAAGAGTCTATAAAGTCAAAACTGGTCCCACCCCAGGGGTATCATTGTTTTTAACTATATGTGTTCAAATAAAAGCCCTTTGTTTAAAATTGGCCCTGCCAGGGGGGGGGGGGAGGAATCATTGATTTTCCTTCTATATGTGTATAGTAAAAACTTAAAAGAAACCTAAAGAGCTAGAATTTAGATACTAATCATGAAACACCATTGAGTGAGTGTCTACCAAGTTTGTTCAATAAAAACCCTGGGGTAAAAATTGGACCTGCCGGGGGGGGGGGGGTCATTGTTTTTCATTATATGTGTGTAGTAAAAACTTAACATCTTCTTTAAAAACAAAAAACTCAAAGACCTAGAGTTTAGATATTTAGCATGAAACATCTTCTAATGGGTGTCTACCAAATTTGTTCAAATAAAAGCCCTTTGGTTTAAACTGGCCCCTCTCGGGGGGCCTATGTATAGGTGAGCGACTTCAGGGCCATCATGGCCCTCTTGTTATACTTAAACATTAGATATTGGTGGTGATATAAAAAATATCTCCCAAGATAATATTATTCTGTCATACATTATAAGTCTATGGAAGTTTTAACTTTGGAAGGATATCTTTAGCTATGATGTATGGTAATATCATTTTAAATATAGTGTAAAATGATATTATATGTTGCTTTATATTTCTCCATCTTTACTTACTTTAATGTGATTTTACTTTTACTGAATAAAAATGTTATTTTGATAATTAATACAGTATGGGAAGTGAAATTCCATCCAACTAATCCAGATCATCTGTTCACATGTTCAGAAGATGGTTCTGTCTGGCACTGGAACGCTTCATCCGTAGCATCATTAGTAACAGGAACTGGTAATGTTGAATTAATCATTTCTTTAAAACATCAGTTGTATTGTTAAGATGATCTTTCAATGCCAATTTAAAAAATAATATTTAATGGTATGTCATATAGTCATGTCATGTTATCTACTAGAGTAAAAGCTCGCTATTAAGACCACTGTGGGGCCCCTGTAGAAGTGGTCTTATTAATGAGTCAGTCTTAAACTGTATTCATGGATGGTTTTGAACTTTTAAAGTTTTTTGACTGAAGAAATAGTAGATAAAGTAATACTATAATTACTTATTATTTATGAATTTCAGTTTCATATTGGGAGAGTGATTTTTGTGTCGCCTCTACGGAGTAGTGGCGACATACAGGGATCACTTCTCCGTCGTCTGTCTGTCTGTCCGTCTGTCTGTCCGTTCGTCCGTCACAAAACTTGTCCGGACTACTCCTCATAAATTACTGGTGCAATTTCATCCAAACTTTACAGGAATGATCAGTACCAAGTCTAGTTGTGCATATTGTCAGCATTTTCCGGTTCAATAATTTTTGTCAGAGTTATGGCCCTTTAATAATTTTTATTTTTAAAGTTTGTCCGGACTACTTCTCTTATACCACTAATGCAATTTCAATGAAACTTTACAGGATTGATCTGGAGCTCAAGTCCTTGCACATATTGCACGGGTTTTCCGGTTGAATGATTTTTGGCCAAGTTATGGCCCTTTGATAAAAAGATGTTTTTTTCTGTGTGTTGCCAGATACACAAAAGCTTGTCCGGACTACTCCTCATAAACTACTGGTGCAATTTTATCCAAACTTTACATGAATGATCAGTACCAAGTCTAGTTGTGCACATCTGTCACAAAACTTGTCCGACCATGAAATTGGCCATCATGAGGCGACACATGTGATCACTGATCGCTCTTGTATTTATCAACTTCTTTCTTTACAGGAGCAGGCTCAGGAGGTGGTTCTTTATTTTCACAGGGTATGCCAGCCAGCGGTGCTGGTAATGTTAGCATTACAAGTCCTTGGCTCACACTCGAGTCCGGCCGGCAGAAACTGGACGTCAAATCAAAGCTTAATCTGACATTACCTATAAACACTGTAGACATTATATCAGAAGTCTTGCTGTGTGGGTCAGATGAGGAAGCAGTTTATGCTGTGGATATTCCTGGTATAAGATAGTGCTATAAATAGAAATGGTGCTATAGTAAAAATCTCCTAGTGTAATTTATACAAGTTAAAAAAAAGCAAAACAAACAAACCAAAAACACTGAATGACTGCTGTGTATTCCATTAAGCAAAAATTGTTTGCAAACTGTATGACATATTTTAACAGTATGCATGAGTTACTTAACAGGTTTGGGAAACAATTATTTGTAGCTATGAATATTTCACAGAAAGAGACAAAGTGCTTTGGGAAAAAGAAACAGATTTTTAACTGTTTGAATACCAGGGGCTGTAATGGCTTGCCTTTGCCACCATTATATAGCTAAACCAGCCTGCACAACCTTAAAATTAATAATCAACTCTTATCAAGTTAATTGTTAAAGGGACTTGACTGGTTGTTAAAGGGACTTGACTGAGGGTTGTTTTTTTTGTTTTTGACATAATAGGATAAGAAATATTCTTGCGAGAATTGTATACCATTTGATGTAGATCTAGGTCTGAACTAATAACTTGTGTGCAAAATTTCATCTTTTTGTCCAGAATACATGTTAACAATTTTATTGTGCAAATTGAACAAAAAAACGAAAAAACTTTTCAATAAAATCATGCTAAAAATCCACACACAAAAATTGATATTCAATTTAACTCTGAGTATATTTATCACCCTTTTCAGAATTTTCCATTTTCAGTGCTTCACTTGATCTATGTAAGAGTTTTAAATTTTTAGACTTTTCTTTTACAAAACTTTGTGCAAAATTAGCTTTGTAAAGGTGAAGTTTAATTAAAGGTTGTTTGAGTAGTCAGAAATTTGTCAATCAACTTAAGTCTTTTTGAAATAGCAGTACATACCAGATGCTGTACGTATTTGTGCTGTGCAAAACAAATATGTAACAAAAAGTAAAGACTAGTAGTAGGCAAGATTACTTGAATTGTTACTTCCTGTTGTCTGAAATTTAATACTTCAGGTCCTAAGTTTTGTTTTTCATATATCTAATAAGGTTTTTGAAGGTATTACTATTTATATAAAGCTTGAAAAATAAAACAAATTAATAGATAATGTAAGTTCTAGGGTTTATCATTTTCTACAGAAGTATTTTTTCATACTCTTATTGTTATGTCTCTGTCAAACATGTATCCATGTCCATGTAAAATATTGTAAATACAGTACAGAAATGTCCAATTGTGTTTTTTTTATTTGAAACATTATATACTGTTCCACGAAACTTAGAAGTTTCTGTTACCGAGTGCTCAAAGTCATCTACTTCAAATAATTTTCCCCTCACCTCTGTGGATTTGACTCCTGTGAAGGACCTCTGTGGATTTGACTCCTGTGAAGGACTTTTTTCATGTAAGGAAGCTATCCAACTAGCTTCAGAAAAGGGGCACCATTGACTACAAAGCACTTGCCCTCACAGCTTGTACGTTGGAATACCTCAAGAGACTGGAGATGCTTTCATGTTATCCAGCTAGCTTACAGAGCGTTGATGGTTCTGTTTAGGTTCCTGCCTGTGCCTAAAACAGTGTATGGAGGGGCACCAGAGGTCTTCCTGCACCAGTAGAGCTGGAAAGACACAATATGACCTTTACTGTGTTGGTGCGAAACTGTCAGTGACTTCGGTTACGCTAGGCTGTTAGTGCCTAGATAATGCATGAAGTGTCTCCTACCAGTAAAGCTAGAAAGTCACCTTTACAAAATATCTTCTGGAAAAACAAAGAACCAGTTCTTGTTTAGAAAGTAAATTAGGTTCAATGACCAGTAAACAAAAACTTGTTTCCTATTTCTTTTCTAACAACACATTTGCATGACTTCATTTTAATCGTACTGAATATGATGAGTTTTTTTTTTTGGAAGTCATTCTTTTTATTTCCAGGTTTATTTTACTTTCCATATTTTTTTTTTACTGAAAATGATATTTTTTCAGGTGTCATTCTTTGTTTCCCGGGTTTATTTCCCTATTCATATTTTTTCTTGTAATTGTCCCATTATGCTTGCAGAAATTTTTACATGCATGGAAAATATGTCACTGTATCTGTAAGTGCGAGAATTATGATGCATAGATGTGTGATATATACATGTAATATATAAACTATACGATATTAATACACATGTATATTCAACAAGATGATATAGAGATATCTGCTGATATTAGTTTGTGATATGTTCACTAATTACTAACACCCTGCTGAAACCGGAAGTCCAAAAGTGATTAACCTTTGACACCAGTATATAGCCAAGTCATCCTGCACATCCTTATAGTCTGACAAGCCTCTATACGATTGGCAGTTCATTTTTTGTATTTTGATATTAAAACCCCTAAAACTTTGATTGGACTGTTCCAAATTCAAAGATGGATAAATCCATTTCACAAATTCAACAGGTAAAGGTTGTTCTGTAGTCAAATACATCTGAGAAGCGGATATATAGATTTATATTGTTATTGTTGTAGATGTCTATAGTCATACGAGTATATAGTAGTTATAGTCCTTTGATTTTCAGGAATTATGTTCGTTATAACATCCATCGTTCTTTTCTATTGTAACTGAAAGATAAAAGTAATAGTAAACTTGCATCAATATAAAATTGCGCTTGTTTAAAGCAACATTTTACATAATTAATATTTAGATATGAAAAGAAAATGTTAATGTTATTTATCATAATTATAGGTGTAACTTGGTAGATTAAGTAAGGAGCACAACGAATAATGTCCCTTATTTTTACATAATCTATGAGCACATGATCAAAAAGGACACCACTTAAGTCATTAAAGGACTGTTATTAATAAAATTCTCACATTGTGTAAAAATGTTTTGCATATTTTAGAGATACATGTCCGACAATTTGTCAATGCAATCATATAAGGTCAAATATCTTTTAGAATGAAGACTAGCATGATTAGAAACTGGATAACTGTCAAAAAATTGTCAAAATGTCTTTTAGAAATAAAACCATCATTATCAGAAACTGGATAATCGTCAGAAAATGTGTCAAAATGTCTTTAACCTTTTACCACATGGGCATATTGCGAAAAATGGCCGTTTTCATTGAAAAGCCTCCTGTTACAAGTTCAAGCTGCTATGAAACTATGAAAAATGCTTCAATACTAACAATAACAACATTTCTCAAACGAAAAACAGTGTTTGGGGCCTAAATAGGGCATTTTTTCACTGTTTGAGGCCTCAAAAAAAGGTGGGGGGGGGCAAAAAGCCGTCGAAACACGCTTACGTATATAAGTGAAAAGGTTAACAAAAAATAATGAAAACCCTTAGAATTACACAAAAACTAGATTTTCCATGTTAACACATGCCCTAACACCGAATTTGGGTGAGATATTGTTGTTTTTTTTTGACATTTTCTAAGTAAGAGATAAAAGTATGATTATCAGAAATTGGAATAACGTTAGAAAATTTGACAAAAATGTCTTTTAGAAATAAAGCAGCATCATCAGAAACTGGTTAAGTGTCAGAAATTATGGTTTAGTGTTGACTTACACCAATGTAATATTTAAATCTGATTTCAAATTCACTGAGAAAATCTGAAGCATGTACATAAAGAATGCTCTGAATACTATCTTATAACTAAATTAGTTGAATTTATTAATGTAATTCATTCATCGTAATCAATCCAAAGAGTGAAATGAAATCTTAATCGGCTTCCGATGAGGTGTTTCTTGGCATTATATGCATTCACAATTACTTCAATAAAGTATAAATAAATACAAAATTTATAATATCCAACCACAATTATCACTGGCATGCACTGGTAAACTAAACCATTCCATGTACAGACCGAGGAAGTTCGAATCATAGCAGATTTTCTGGAAAACAACGAATCAAAATCTTATTCAGGAGGTAAATGAGGCTGACTGTATAACATTATGACAAGTTACCAGAATGTGTTTGTTTTCTATTTTAAGAACTATTATTCAAACATTTTACCCTTTCTTGACTTCATTTTATCTTACCGAAATCTATTCCGGTTGCTTTTTTCTTCCCAAGTTTGTGTCCCTTTTCACCAACCCTGAAAGTGAAAGAATGTTATAATCAGTAATTATTTTCTTTAAGTATTTCAATATTTTCAATTCACCTGAATTGATTTTCACCTGAATTGATTAACACTTTTTTTATAAGCACCGTGAAAGATATCTCAGTTTCGAAGCTTTGCAATACTCGTACTGGTTTGGAATCATTGATTCTATAAAGGTCACGTGATGACCCTCCAGTTCTAGGGAAGTGGAAGAAGAGCAAATCAATGCCTCATCCGCATATCGTTGTAGGAACGTGCGGAGATCTTGTTAGAACCGCCAACTTACCGTAAACTATACTTTCTCAACGAGTCCATATCAATTTATTACATGAATTTTATACTTGTATATATTGTTTCTTGGCACACCAATAGCACTTGTTTGACAGGCAAAATAACTGACAGATGAAAAAGATCCACCATCATTTGGGGAGTTTGTCCCACCTTTCTCACTGTCTGTAAGGCGTAAAGTAGTTATATTGTTTGCTTTACTGCAATTACTATTGTGCTACCTCTGGTCATGGTACAGATTTAATGTGAAAAGGATAAAGACATTACACAAACATCATAGCAACTTTTATCTCATTATTTCCATTAAACATCTTCTATCTCTAATAACCCTAAGTTTGGCGTGAATCCTCAATAAAGCATATAACTATATAGTTCTGTATCCTCCTTTTTTTCCAAGCAAAACCGTTTCTGTTAACATCAGCAAAAATCATTGAGAAGCACAAATAATTTATCAGCACAAATAATTTATCTCTTTATCAGCACAAATTCTTTATCCATTGCGTTCAAAAATCAGCAAAATTAAGCAGCAAGAACTTGTTTACAATAGCACAGGAAACAGCAAATCTTTCCAGCAGCAACTTCATACGTCCTTCTCATACATATTCCTTTCGGCGTTTGCATCCTTGTTTTTACAGGTTAATATCGTAAAAATAATCTGAGACTACAAATAAAGAAATTAAAGCAGACCGATCAGAGTGAAAATGAAGATTTCTGTACTCAAATGTTACAAGAAGCATAGTTTATGTATTATTATACCTTAAAGTTGAAGGGTTTTGCCCAAGCATTGACATTTGAAGGTGTTAATAAGATATGTTTTGTGAAACATTACTCTGAAACAAATGCATTGTTGGAATTTATGTAATGGAATATTATTAAACACTCACTATCGACTTTAAATGGACTCTCGTTTAACATATTGGCATTTATCTTCTTGTATTCAGCCTTTTTGTTCGTCAAATCGTTAACTGCAATAAAATGTATCAATTTTGTTATGATAAAGCTATAATTTTACCAGTCGTGTACGTTTCAGAACTGTGACATAAGTAAAGATGATTAAAGACTATGATTTCTGATTTTATTTTATTTATTTGTTTTTATACGTGCGTACATATAGGTACATATACATGTTTACATAAATGCAGGCGTACAGGCTAAACTCAATGAATTGAAATAAACTATTTTGTTAATCTTTACATTTTGTTCTGGTTTTAATCCTTCAGATATTATTATTGTGTCTTTCCTGTTATTATCACATCGCATTTTCATTTTGTTAATTCAAATGTTATCACAACCAAACAGGTTTTGTTTTATATGTATTTCGATACCGAGAAAATTATTACAAAATTTAAGATATGAAACTTAAACAAAATTTGTTCTTTAAGTTTTGAAGTTTCACTACTTTCTAATTGCTCAAAATATAAATTATTTATGACTTAAAATTATATTTTACGAGATATAAATTATTAATAGAACTTACTTGCATAAGTGACTGTTTCCTGCACAGCCAAACATAACATCATAACGCATATGAAGTAATAACCTTTCATTTTGATACAAATGTTGTAACTGTCTAATTTGCAGTCAAAGAAATATGAAAATTGCATCGAATAAATACCATATATATCTATGTATCTATAAAGGTATGCCGAACCATCCGTAAAATGTAATGTAGGGTGAATATATTTAAAAGATTGATCTGATTTATGATAACAAGAAGTGTGCAATTCAATGTTTAATGATTAATAATGTAAGGAAAATGTCGTATGTGCAACATATCACATTCTCATCTTTTTACGCCTCTTTTTAACACAGTTTATAGTCATATCCCGGCGGTTTTCCCGGATAACCTACCACTAGTTATATACCAAATTCTCCGCATGTTCCTACATGATTGCTGAATGATTGTTGAGAGAAAAATGACCATTACACTTAATTTTCGAGAGAAATTTCGCCGCGTCCGAGGATTGAACAAGCGACCATTGCGCATTGTAAATCGGATGGCTAAGATTGCGGACTTTCCATACATGAAACGTTTTCATTAATGAAACAAACTGAAATTTTCTGTATTACCGGATGTCCCCCAAAACCTTAAGCATGGATGCAGGGTGTATCATTTCAAGCTGAAAATTCTTCAGCTTAAAGATATACTATGCTCAAAATTGCTTTTAATGTTTGACTCCACACAAAGAAGATACTTTATGTTTTAAATCCTACACACTATAGGTGGTCACGATATTAATAAATAGTTTTTTTTTGTTTTTGTTTTTTTTAAAATACCAGCTTTACTTGACCTGTTATAGGGAACACAGCTTTCATTATATAGCTTATTCATTCTTATATTCAAATTAGACATATTCAGTAAAAATTTCAAAGATTTAAATACATTTCTGTAACAAACATATTTTACTCAAGGACGAGCATAGTATATTTTTAAACGTGTTGCAATGTTTTTTTGTTTTTTTTTTCATTGTAATAGTTGCATTTTTCCCCAAAGATTGAAATTTAAAACTTTTAATAAAAAACAAACTAATTTTAAGATAGAGTTGAATTTACATGATTTAGAACCCGACAGAAGATCGGAATTCAATCTTTAAAAGATGATTTCCTAGCCGAAGTAGAGAATTTCGAACCAATCCAAAGATTAAAATTAAGATTAGTAGAAATTAAAGCTCGAACCAGAGAAAAGATTGAAATTAAAAATTCACATGAGCTGAATATCGAGATGAGATACATTTTGAACCACCACGAAATTTTTATATACTAGTACATGTATATTCGAACTATGAATCTGTTGTTAAGGGTTTGGTGTAAAATGAGGAGGTCTACAGACATTTACTCATATAGTGCATACTGTTTTAAATGAAAAAGAAAACTGTTTCTACGCTATAAAATGCGTTATTTCCTTGAACTCGGACTGTCTCGAAGTGTTTGGCCTGCATTTTAAACCTATCTCGAAATTCTCAATGTACAGAATTGCGACATTTTCATTATTCTGTCAAAATGATACGACATTATTAGAATCCGATACGCCACTTTATATTAACTAGTTTCTGTCCTGGTCCATGGTAGGACAAAAAAATGTATTTCTTTTCTATCAACATGCGGCATTTGGTCTGTCATGTTCGTTGTTTTTAGTTCATTATTTCTATTACTTATAATGTACCGAACTGCATGCCTGTCCATGTATATAATTTTGATATTTATTGATGTGTTTTTATTTTTTGAAACTTCAGTCCATATTATTATTTTGTAAAATGAACCGCGGATTTTTGCTGTTGCTGTTTTGAAAGTAATACTTATAAAGTTTGCATTTATGGTGACAGGTATTGCAAAGTTCTGATTAAATCTCTGATTTATTAGTTGAACACCTTATTTAAAATGATACCTGAAAAATCATAAATATATTTGAATATTATCAAGTGAGTGAATCTAGTTTAAAGTGGAAATATGTTGCATTTGCTTCACAAATATAAAGGATAAATTTCATAAGGTAGATCTATTATCATTAATTAGATCTTCATTTTCCATGTTCATTGACTTTATGTGCATAGATAAAATAGATGGTTGAAAACATAAAATTAAAATATTCCGAAACGCATATTATAGGTCTATATAAGTATAAACATAAAATTATAATATGTCTATACAAAATGTATAAGTATATATAAAACATAAGATTCATGGTGACCTAACATTGCACACTACTTTCACAACAGTAATTTTACAACTTATGTACACACAAAACCTGCCAACCCTTAGAATGATTGAATAATTTATGCAAAATTTTACCTTAATTGTTTCTGACCGCTTGAGCCGAAATGTACGATTTACTGTTGATGAACGTAACCTTTTTTGTTATATTTGTGTATCAAAACTATGTCAGAAAGAAAACAAAGTAAATACCATTCTTATCTTTGTGCAAGGTAGGCCATTTTAAAACGGCAACACAAGCTCTCTTTCAGAACAAATTTCACTATCTTCAACAATGTCTAGCATTGGAATCGAGTAATTAATATTATTTAGTAATGGACATACTAAAGGTTTCGCATTCTGGTGCTGAAAACCCATTTTCTTTAAGGTGAATAAAAAACATTTTGACAATATACATGTATGCAATGAGTAAATTACGTAATATACATGTACTAGTATATTGTCTTCTAAATCGCACCACTATCAACCAGTGTGTGCAGACCTGTGCAGACAGAGCGGCAGCAGATTTGTGTGATTTACGTTTATTTATGGTCGCCACCAGTCAATGCAAACGGACTACTCACTCCAGATTACATATACATGTATAGTATTGTATACGTGTTTTTTCATTCCACAAACTACACGAGAAACATCAACGTTTGCACATGCAAGTTGTAAAGCATCGTTACATTTTAAAGTAACATGACTTACCATACAGACAGTGTTACAACTAGATCAATGTACTTGGCCCTTCTAGACAAATTCAGAAAGATGAATATTTGAATATATCCATACTTTCCCGCCAAATTTTTGTTTCAGGGTAAACAGGACAAAATTTGCCAAATCATAAATGTAATAACAATTATACTTACAGATTAGTATTATCATCATGCATTTTCGGTTTTCATACACAGTGTTCCAAGGACTCCTCTGATGATTTTTTCACATAACCATATTTTTACTGCATTACTAACATAGTAAAAGTATTTTAATATTTTGACCTCATCTTGTTAATTGACGTGGGTTGTGAGTGCTGTATGCAATGTCTAAATTGCTTCCTTTTGGTTACTTCACAATACTAGTATTTTACTTTTAAATACACTTTGAAAATTAGCATGAATCAGGAGACGTGTAGCTTGAAGGTCATTTGGTGATTTTACAACTTCATTGTGGGCTAAGAAAGACTTCAGGTGCCCATTAGACCTTTCCCCAGGGAAGAATCTTACCTATGACTAAAGCATGTCCCAGATCTAACCAATGAATAAAAGATGCCAACCTTAGATTTATCATTACAACACTGCGCGATTATAATATCTCTTTTCATTGGATTATCGTGGCGCAGACATTTACATGTATATACAAGGCTGCTGTCACTTTATGGAGTAATTTTCAATATAGACTGACAGCCGTTTATCCAGTCAAATATCTAGATGACAGGTAAGTAACGGGATTGATATAAAAGAAGATCTGCTGGTAGGACTGTTTTCAATGCTTACTAGTTATAATTAAGCAAGAACCTGGATAATGAAGAATTTTCAAAGTTCAAAAAGGACTATAACTCTGTCATAATCCGTGTTAGAGTTGTGAGCCTTAGTCAATGACCTCCTATTATGCTCTCAAATAACTGTGAAGTTTCAATCCATTCCCTTCAGTACTTTTGGAGATACCAACATGTATGCAATTTTCTTTTTTATAAAATGTGACACTGATACCTGGTGAATACAATAACTCCCCCTTATTCTTTGAAAAGTCAGGCTAACAAAAGAAACAATATGAGATTATTTCTGAGTAAGACTTTAATAAAATATTTCACACAAAACAACACTGAGCAAAGAGCTTTTTCTGTAAAATGTTTTAAATATATATATTTATACCTAATCTCTCAATGTCCTATAGAATATTAGTAAATTTCATTTCCTTTTATCATATCATAAATATAGGAATAGCAAAGTCTAAAAATATTACCATAACTTGAGCTTAGGTTTCATAATAAGCATCTCAAATCCATACATTATTACATTTTACAATATAGAGATTTCTTAAACAACATGTCATATAATTAGCACCTTTCCTATAGCATTTGTCTTAGAAAAAATTGTACGTTTATGATATTACTTGTTTCAGAAACCTACAAATTCCATAATATGATAATCAAAATTTCATAAGCAGTTATACATAAAAATTTGAAATTTCACTGACAAATATTAAATAATCTTGACATTTCATTGATAACTATAGGTAAATCTTGACATTTCACAAATAACTAAGCAAATATTGATATTTATAGCTATTAGTAATCTTGACATTTCATATACATTTAATAATAACTATTAGCAAATCATCATATTTCATCAGTAACTAAGTAAATCTTGATATTAATAGCTATTAGTAATCTTGACATTTCATTTATATCTATTAGCAAATCTTGGCGATTCATAATTATTAATATAAAAATCTTGACATTTCATCAATATTCAAGTAAATCTTGATATTAATAGCTATTAGTAAATCTTGACATTTCATAAATAACTATTTGTTAAAGTTGACATTTCATTAATTATAGCTAATAACTAATAGTAAATCTTGACGTTTCATTTATAGCTATTAGAAAATATTGACATTTTCATAACTATTATTGAATTTTGACATTTCATTGAAAACTATTGGTAAATTTTGACATTTCATTAATAATTGTTGGCAATGTTCATAAATAACTATAAGTATATCTTGACATTTTATTTGTTAGTAAATCTTGACATATAAGTCTTAAAATCTTATTCATAACTAGAAGGTAATCTTGATAGTTCATTTTAATCTTGACATTTTAATAATATTTATTAGTAAATCTTGACATTTTATTAATATTTATTAGTAAATCTTGACATTTTATTAATATTTATTAGTAAATATTGACATTTTATTAATAACTATTAATAAATCTTGACATTTTGTTATTAACTATTAGTAAATCTTGACAGTTTATCAATAACTATTAGTTAATCTTGACATTTCATCAACAACTATTAGTAAATCTTGCCATTTCATTAATTATAGCTAATAACTATTAGTAAATCTTGACATTTCATCAATAACTATTAGTAAATGTTGACATTTTATCAATAACTATTAGTAAATCTTGTCACTTCATCAATAACTATTAGTAAATGTGACATTTCATTAATTATAGCTAATAACTATTAGTAAATATTGACATTCATCAATAACTATTAGTTAATCTTGTCATTTCATTAATTATAGCTAATAACTATTAGTAATTCTTGACATTTTATTTATAACTACAAGTAAATCTTGACTACTAATCAATCTTGATTAATTAACATATAATTATTGCAATGATATGTTTACAAATAATAAAGAATTGACAGCATTACAGAAAATAAGTAACAATAAAAAAGAGTTCTAGCACATGTAAAAAAAATTGAATATTTAAAACAGTAACAAACAAAAAGATAGAACATATATCATAAAAAATAAAGTGGAGAGTAAAACATAGAAAGATTCACAACTAGACAAAATAAATAATCACAGATCTGCTTATAAATGATATGGATGCATTAGACTTTACAATTTGATAAACTGGTACCCTATAATAATTAATTGGTTAATTCCAAGTCAGTCAATAAAAATAGACACATTTGATTTTTTTTTGGAAGTGTCCATTAATAATGAAAGGGATTTCAGTATTAAATTTGTAAAATGGAACAGGCAGTATTAGAGAGAAGCACACTGGTCTAGCTCTTTACTGATGACATCATGGCAAAAACAATTATCTATCTTTAGTAAGTTGACATAATGGCACAAAATTCCAGTGTCACATAGAAAGGTGATTTTTAATCAGCCATATTGTTCTTTTTGCAGCAGTTTCAAAGTTCAAAATATGTTTCTAGTCACACAAGTTTGTATTACTAAATGACAGCACAAATTCCAATCATCTAAAGACTATAAGTAATAAAATAATAAATACATATAATTCTATTCTATTCTTGTCAGATAATACAAAATGAAAGGAAAATTGTATCAGTAAAATTCCCTAGTCTGTAAAACTATGTGAGTCTTCTGAAACTCTACAGACAAAATGTCACTATTAACTTTCATCATAATCACACCAACAGATGCTTTTTTCTTTCTTTTTCAGGCCATTACAAATTACTTAACTTACACTAGCTAAAAAGAAATGTATGCCCATCTAAGTGTAAATGGTAAGTCTGCATGTCAAATCAAAATAACTTTAAGTTTTGCCATTATTGCATTGAATTTTATAGTCTGTTCTGTATGTTTTATCAATAGCCCATGTGACTCACAGAAAATTCTATAAATATCCTTTGGAATGTATCGTAAACATTAAATTGATAAAAAGAGTTGGGCAGTCTTTTAATATATTAGCTAGTTGTTTTACATTATCCTTAACATTTTTGATTTTCAATAATTGGTTATTAACCATCATAGCAGTCAAACATTTTAGATATATAGCCAATTTAGCCAAACTCGACCACAAAAGTATGAGCATAGTGTCAATTAAATCAATGTGAAACGAAAACTTACCCATATGATTGCCTTTGTTGTAAAATTGTTTTTCTTTTTTTGTATAAACTTTTTAAAATATCAGACAATGAACATACATTACAGTACATTGTACTTTCAGTTTGCTTAGCCACAATGCTTTTTTGTACTTTACTATATGACTGTGTAGTTTTTAATGCCCTAGTTCCATAGTGTTTTGGTATTTCTCCCCAAAAAATCATTTTAAAACATTCTAACAATTATGTCATAACAATTATGATATAGTGAACATAATTATGTAACATATTAAGTTAAAACATATTGACATAGTTAGTTTTTCATCAATATGTTCTGGCATTTATCCACCATTTTCATTGACTACAGCAACTTCTGGCTACAATTACACACAATAATTATGTAAAAATAATGCTTTAATATGTTAATGGTAGAAGGCTGACCTTAAAAGCACTGTATGAAGTAAAACTTTTATGATCAAAGTACAATAATTTTAATGACCATACAGAAAATTCATTGGTTGAAAATCTAGGCAATGTTTTATGGATAGAGTGTAAGTTTTAACACAAGTCCCTATCACAGGGGATTCTGTCATTTTTTTTCCTTTCATAATATAACAAGGGATACAACTCAAAATTGCTCAATTCATGAAAAAGTAAATAGAACGCAATATACAACAGTTTTTTTTCTTTTGATTGTGGACATTGATGAAAGAATCGATAATTTAAAAAAAGACTCACTTTGTTACATGGACAAGATATTATTAAAAATAACCTTTCATGTTTCATTTTTACACACGTTCGTAAAATTTCGGTTTGTAAAATTACACGTGTAAAACAATATCTAATGCAAACGTATGCTCATATAAGGAAGTTTAATCATGTAATCGGTTAAATATCAATCATCCACCATCATCAATGATGCAATCATTAACTTCTGGTACAAATTATTGTAACAATTATTATTTGTTTTCGGCTTCCATTTTGATGTTGCCCGTATGTTCCATGCGTAAATCCAACTTCTGTTAGTGAAAATTTCATTGGCTAATGAATAATAATAATCCGGATAATAATGGCGTATAGCCGCGACCAATAGCGTTTTTTTCATCAGCCAATGAAAATACTCGGAACATAAAAACACCTGCTAAATGGACGACAACTTGACAGCCAATGTAAATATTGATAAATATTGAAATGTTAACTATTTCCTGCAATGTTACAGGTTTTAATGAAGTGTTTGTAGTAGAACTTGGGTAATGACTCGTTCATATATTAACTTCTACAATAACTTTGATGGAATAGAGGATATTTTATACAGTTTACATGTGTGAATGCATTTTATGAACCCGTGCTGGTAGTGCGAGGCCACAACTTATATCCCTTGTTTATATTAAAATATATAGATTTAATAAGATAATGACAGATTTCCCTGTGGTCCCTATAAACTCTATTAGGCACTATATGTATCACCCTGAAAAAAACTGAAAATTATGTAAAAAGCTTTCATACTATTGAAAGATTGTCTTCCGATATTTTTTTGATATTGCACTTTTTATTCTAAATATATAATTATTATCAATGTACACTAAATTGTGATCTGGTTCAAACTAAAATAAACAAAATGTACAAATAAAAAATTCAGTGAATTTTACATATACCACAAAGAAAATTACATTCTATATAAATCATTTTCATGGAAATGTTTTTGTACTAAATAAAAATACAAAGTTTGAAATGAAATATAATCCACATGTTTCTTAGTATTTCTTTACTTTTTACATCAGCATAGTTATGATGATTGATTGAGCTGTCTATAAACAGTAAAATATTTGTTTGTATCTTAAAATTATGTCTGTAAATTTCTGATAAATTATGTGGTTCATTTACAAAATCATAAATAAACCTTGTAAAAATAGCTTTTGAATAATTGTGAGTGAATTATTTAGTCCATTACTTTTATATTTTAGGTGTTTTTAAATGAACAGTATACCAATTCAAGTGTAAATGGTGAATAAACAGGTAAAAGTCATACTAACTACATGTACTTTTTGGCCATGACTGTTTTCCATTTTATATTCTACTTCACAGGACATTTCTATAAATATCCTTTGGAATGTACCAGTAATGTGAAATTGATTAATGGAGCAGTATTTTTTTATACTTTAGGCAGTTTTCTTAAGACTAAAAAGAATGACAAGTAATGATAACATCCTTAATACAGAATATGAAGCGCCCAATTATAAACCCTTATCCTGCTGAAAATTAAAGTGACTATCTTTTGCCACCAGTATATAGCCAGGCCAGCCTGTACTTTCTGTGCAGTCTGACCAGGCTCTATACTGGTGGTAGCTCATTATTTTCATCTTTATCCTGAAATACTTTTAGCTTTAAATACACTGTTCCAAATTCAAATCTGGGCAAACCCATTCAGGAGGATAAGATTTAAAGTAAAAATCTATTTTTAGAAAGTATACAACAACTAAGCACCTATACCTTATTACTCGTAGCCACAAAATGTAAAACCTACATGTCTAAAATACATAATGACACAAGCAACACTGCAAAGAAAAACCATTAAAATTTCATTGCTGAAAATTTATATTTTGATTATAGTTTTACTTACAATCAAATAGATTTGTCTCAATTTACTTTTCTTTTTTTTTTTTTTTGAAACAAAAATACAGACTTAATTTAAGCTATTTTAATATCAAAATGCAAATACCAAAATTTAGCTTGCCAGAACTGACTGGCCTTTAACGTTACTTTATAAGTATGGAACAGACAAGAAAATAAGTTACAGAAGAAAATGTTACGATCTTGTATGAACACAGTAATATAACCTTTTGATTTGTATATGACAACTTACACACCTGTGAAATATTTTGACATGTTTTAAAAAATCATAAACTTATAAAATATTTTTGCATGAAATGGAATATAATATGCATTTGAATAATTTGACATGCATGACATTGGAATATGAATGAAAGTATATAAAAAGTCCATTAAAATTGTACTTTTTCTTGTATTCAAAGATAAAAAAAAGAGAAAATTTGTCTCGTTTTTGGAATAATTTGACATACATGATATGAAAGTTACCCGATATTTATCAAACTACACCTAATATAAGTGCAGCATCACCAGTATTCAAGATCAGAATCCCCTCCTTCTCCACTAAATCCTGTCGACTCAGATTCTGAAATATCTGACAAGCTTCCATCACTGTCACAAAAGATATTTTCTGGTGGCATGGCCTTCATGTGCGACATTTTGTGAGCAATACGATGAAGTAACAGCTCCACCTCAAAATTCATCAAAAAATCTCTTGGAAGCCCTAAACTTTTCACAAATGTCTGTAACACTGCTTTATTTAAAATAAAACCAATGTAATCTTCGTAAGGATGGTAATCAGTCTCTTGAGCAACACTCTTCTGTATCACGTTCACGGGAAGCAGTTTAGATATACACGTCCTGTGTTTTATAAAACACTCGCGGAAAAGAGATCGTGCTGCAAGCTGTTTAAGCCCAGCTGAAGTTTGTCCGAACATTAGGTGTACAAGAGTGCTACTAATATTAGACAGGTGCGAGAACTCTGAAAATTCTCCATTCAACATTCCGTGTATCTCATCGGTGATTTCCTTTCTGGTGAAATAACCTGAAATTAATATAAGAATTACTTGGTTAAACATTAATCTAAGATATTGTAAAACTTTAATTCAACCAATGTTCTTTTGAAAAAGTTTTTATCAAGCATCTTAACTTTTCTTTTCAATCTTGCTTTTAAAATGTCTTCAATTTAATTTGTTTCAATATAATGACTCTTGATATTAACAATTTTTTTTATAACAACTGAAAAATTCAGGTACAAGACACATTTTTAAAAACAAAATTCAAAATTTTTATCGGCTTCTATGATAAACAAATACAAAAGCAATATGAGGGATGTGTCTAAAGAATGATTAAAGAATATTCATATACATATCCTTAGAAATATAAGTACAGTCTACTCCACTTGTAAAGAGATTGATTTTAACATTACTTAGGTAACCAGCCATTTCCATTCTATTTTCCTTTCATTTAATACAGTACTGATTACAGTGAGATCAGTTTTATTAAGATATCAATAACAATGTATATATTGTCATCTTAGTGCATTAACTGGTTAAGTCCTATTAAATTTAGATGGACTTAACTTGTTATTGCACTACTGTGACAAAATTTATCATTTATTATTATCTATTATACCGCAAAATCCCGATTTAACGCCCCCGGGAGCGTAACATTTTCCAAATGGGGGCGTTTAATAAAAATGAAAAATAAAAAGCAACAAATAAAAACATCCTCTCTTCAGATGAGAGCTCATTCTAATTTTCCTCCAAAAAATTCCCCAAGATCCTGCTTGCAGTTGACACCTTACCGACAATCTGATGTAATCAATGCTACTTTCCTAATTTACAATGTGTCAACAGGCCCACTTCCAGATCTGTGTAGTTGTCCAGGTGCAAAGCTATATCGATAGTGTGTACTGTAAATATGTTTACCGTTTTGTGTTTTTTAACATTAACTTTTTTCAAGTAGACTACACTCTGTTTTAGTGAACTGTAAAAGTGTTAAACAGTTTTGATTCATGGATATTTTTCAAAATGGAATGATATTGGATATACCATAAATCGATGAACTAGAAAGAGAGTTTCTTTATTTTCTTTTATTTTCTTTGTTTAAATTATACACAGTGTTTTCAAAAGTTGGTGGGGGGCGTTAATTAGGGTGGGGGCATTAAATCGGGATTTTACGGTAATCAGAGCAATTTTTAAACACTTAGCGATCAAATGTGTCAGGCATGTTACATCTGCACCCAGCTAGAATACACTTTTTCAGATAAAGGCCAGTATCTGGTTAGAACAATTACGATATGTTAACTGAACTGAACAACCATACCAGGTACCAGGTTTTAGTTTAAGTTTTAATGTTTCACTGGTCGGCATAAACTTTCATTTCAATACCCTCAGTGGGATGTGATATTCATATATCATCTCTGTTAACCATAAAATGAATTATTCCTTTCATTTTTATGAATTTCATAGCAAACTTTTGTATATTTTGATATCTTTCAGTCTTTATTTGTGTTGATGTATTTCCATGCTCGGCCAATTCTTCATCTCATACTTTCCAGCACATCAGTTGAATGTTCCACAACCGTTCATTTTCTCATGTTTGAAGTAATGGTAGTGTATTCAACTAGCTGCTAAGGGAGCATATACATCTCAGTGTTGTTCTTTAGTATTGAGACTTGAATACTACTGAATGGGTAAGATAGATATTGTAGTACCAATTATCTGTCATGAACAAGCTAATTGTAATTTTTAACATTTGTAATTTTTAACATAAAACTTTGGCTTTCATTGCTCTAGAGTGATCTCCGTTTTCCACAATGCCAAGAAAGATTTTAAAATAATTTACCAGAATCAACTAGATGAGAATACTGTCTAGGAGCTGTGACAATACTACTGTGCATGTTCTGCCAGTTGATACTACGTTGTAGAGGTATTGAAAGGAATGTTGCGAAAATTGGTGAAATTCTCCTGAAATGTATATGCTCAAAATATTAATAATAACTTTAATATTAACAAAATTGCATGATGTATCTTAGATTTCAATATCAAACAGTGACATTATGCCCATGTAAGTGTAACTGTTATGTGAAAGTTAAAATTAAAATAACTTAACCAGCATGACTTAACTTTTTGTCATACTTACTATTTTATAATGTACAGATAATCAATAACCTACAACTTATAAGACTCGAGGAAACTTCTACAAGTTTGCTTCTTTAAAAAGAAGCATGCGAGAGGTCTTTTTGCAGCTGTTGAAGATCTGTTTATTTCAAAAATATTTGGAGATATAAAAGGCACCAGAGATTTTCCAAAACGGGCATAAAGTATGTTAATCAAACAATTTTAAGTCCCAGATTTACATTAATAATGTATATATCATTTGATTGGAATAAACAATATATACTGCTGCATGCCTCCAACCACAATATGGCAAGAAAATCAAACATGAGAAAAAGTTGTGCCATTTTCGCCATTTGCGCCAAAAATACTCTGTTGCGTAATTTAGTCATACCAGTTCAAAAGTGAAAGTAGCATCAATTTTCGGTACACCGTTCACTCGGTCACATAATAATGCCTGGTGATAGTGTTATAATGTTCACTGTTCCTAATTTATGGAACATGAAATACAATGTAGTAAAACGCCATTCAGAAAACAAGTATCGATTTCATACAGTTTAAAGGAATAAAAAACGGAATGAACCATTGCTCGTAGTGTTATTTAACGTAAATGATATTTTCCTTGTACCAATTTGTTCACTTCGATGTTTATTTTTCGTTTAAGTTAAGTCGTATTTTGAGGCGGAGCATGCGCATAACAATTTTTGTAGACTGATTCTAATGTTTTAAGGCTTAAAATACGATGCATTAGCTTCATTTGTAACGCAAAAATGGATGCCGCCAGCAATCATTCTCAACACTGTGGAGAGGTCTGATGACCTCTCCAATAAATATCCTTCAGACCATCAAAAACATTCAATTTATAAAAATATAGGGGCAACCATTTTCTATTTAAGGCAGTTTTTAGTATTTAAGAGAAAGTGGATATCAAGTTTGAAGTGAAACGCTGTCATGGTTTCTGAGAAAATAGACTCTAACAAAATAGTTAACCAATGATAAAATTCTAAGTTGAAAAAGGGGCACTACAACGAGAGGGTCAAGACAATAGCTTCAACTTTTTCTTTGAAAGGTGGAGTTTAAAATTAACCAAAAACCCTATATGTATTCATAGGTAAGGGGGTTAACAATTTAATGTTCAACACCTCAATCACTTGGTCAGGGAGGCTTCCTTTATGCAGGCAACAAAATTTACAGTTTAAGCTGAACCTCAAAGATAATTTATATTAAAACTACACATGATGTGATTTGATAGCTTTCTCACATTTTAAAAATTAAAGAACCATCAAGCCAACATAATTCCATCATTTTCATTTTACAAAAGCTTTTTTTTTTTGGTATCCTATTACAGTTTCCAAACTGGTTCTCGGAGCCATCTTGTGTTTCCTTTGCATTTTGGCAATTAGAACACTTATATTGACCGAGTACATTGTAATTTGTATTGAAGTTAAAATATCACTTTGATTACATTTTACAATGTTAATCACATATTATTTCACATTCAATGCTATTTTCTTCAGGTAATAAGGATCTTACATGTTCTTAATCCATTATTACAACATTATAAAACACATGGTTGTTCTTTTTACAGAAAGAAAAAAAATTAGTAAATTTCTAAGGCTTAATGTGCCTTTACCAAATGACCACATTTCTTTCATTGGTATCAAAACTAATAATAGTTAGGAGCAAACTGTTTATAAAAGTGACCTTATTGCACACAATTAAGGGCATCATTCTGAAGTTTCATATTTACCTCTTTCTTTTTCGTGTTTCCCACACAGTCCCTCTTATGGCAGGGTCTGCACCTTTGAGGAGAATGCTTTGAGCTGCATTGACATCTCCTCGTATTATACAATGGAATAACGCTGTGTGTCCAGACGAGTTTTGTATATCAACCTTAAATATAATTATACATACATGTACATAAATAACACTTAATGTTAAATATTTCCCTCAAAACTTGAGTCTTAAAAATATATGTTTTGGCTGATTGTCAATATTTTCTGTAATTTGAAATCTGAACTAGCATTTACACAATAACTTTTCGACTGTCTAGGGAACAGATTCTACAGCATAACAATCAATCTACATATTATATTAGATATTTGTCAGTTTTGTCATGTATTAATTAACATTTAAATCTGGCGAAAAAGTTCGTTTTACTGGTATAATGCCTATGCTATTAACATAATTTACTTACTCATAAGAGCATGAGATGTCATGTCTTGATCAGTCAAATGTGTGCTAGGTTTAACATTTACCTAGGTAATGGTGACCAGAGTTGCTAGGTCACACACCAAACATGCTGTGAATTTTACATAACATGATATTTTGCACATAATATCTGAAAACAACAATACTTTATATCTTATGCCAAACCTCATACTTTGGTTGCTACAAAACCACGAAAGTCCTTAATCATTTATCATCAATATGTTTGATACCTTACAGTCTAACATTCTTTTTTTTACCTGTATATTCTTCTGTTTCAATAAATAATTGAAGAAATCTCTCTTCACACACAGACTAGCACTTGTATCCTCTAATGTATCATTACTACATGGTGACAAATCCTCCATATAATCGTACATTTCTGACGCGGACAGATCACAGAGTGAGAGAAGAGGAGAGTTTCCACGAATGTCTAAAGCATTAATATTAGCACCATTCTCACAGAGAAGTTTAAACAAGCAGACATCATGACTGAGAACGCCTAAACGATGTAGCGGAGTTTTTCTACCCTCGTCTTGTATACTTGCATCACCACCAGCACCTGAAAATAAAAAAAAAACAACTTAAGAGTAACTTTCCTCTTTAAATTTGTGAAAAGTTCAAATTTTTAAACCAAGGGACATACATTACTTAAAGCTTATACATGTATAATTTAGAGACAAAAGTTATGAAACTTGTTTAGTTCACTTGGCAACAATGCTACATACAAAATAGCTAAGTAGATGCGGTTTCAAATGATATTAAAATGTGTTTTCTTCCATAACAAAATGACTCCTTGAGCATGATCATTTTTTCATTCTTAAAGGCATAATTTATACCTCTTAATATGCAGAAGACAACACAATTATTCTACATACTAAATATATAAGCTCTCCCGTTGTAGTTTCTGACCTGTAGTTTCATATACATGACAGTGTGACTAAGGGGTGGGCTGTTTTCGTTTTTATTTAATCCCAGGGGCACTACCTATATAACAACTTAACAAACATAAAAATATCTACCTAGAATAATGAATACAAGATCTTCTACATGTTCTATAACATCATCTCTAGATGTCAAATACTGTTTGTTAATACCAACCACAGGATCAACTTGGGGGTCCCACGTTTGATATACTGACCTGAAATTAAACATTATCACAAAATTCAAACATTTTATTACCACACTTATCTCTCAAAATTTGTTCTATAAATACTTGCTTCAATCTTGATAGCAGAATGATTTAGTTATTTCAGTTCATATTTTATGATTTTCAAGCTTGCATCCTGGACCAACTAGTGAAGAAATATGTCACATACCACAAATAGCTGGAACCCTTGTCATGATCCTTATATTGTGAGGCAAACAAAACGCCATTTTCCCCATTATTAGCAAAATTATATAAGCTGTATGCAATTATTTTAATGAAATATATAATATGGTAACATTTTTTTTCCGGTTAAATTAGCAATATTGTAATTACACTGGAATCGGATGTAAAATAGATATTTTTGAAGTAATTGTTGGCAAGATCATGGAGATGGAATAGTAAACACTATAATTTTGAAATCAATGTTCTTTAAAGCTATGAATGGTAACTTTGTACTAACACCATGGTTTATAGCAGGTAAACTGTCAGTAAAACAGAGATTTATTATGCAATGGATGCTAAAGTACTGTAATTGGTATACCATGGATTATAACGTTGAAAACTGAAAAATTATATGTTAAACAGATAGCAAAATTGGGCAAACTGGCATCCAAAGTCAGGATGGTGTAAAGGGCTCGGTACGGTTTGGGTCAATTTTGGCCCATCGTCAAAAAATATTCAAAATTTGATGTATCAAAATTTAACTATATTTATAACAAATGCAGCAAGATTGAGTCAGATATCTGTTTAGACGAAAAAGTTATAATAAATCAAAACAACCTATCAAGAAAATAAAATTACTACAGTTTGACGTCATCAACGTCACGTATTATTTTGAGCGCATCGCTTCGAGTAATTAAAAATATAATGACGCATATGTATTTTCTAATTTGTTTATCTTGTAATGCAAATGAGTTGATGATACATTTGATGTACATTTCTGCCTTTCAATTATGATAGCAGACATAAATAAATAGTCACTGTGAAGTACATTGTATATTAAAACAGACGAAAAGGAAGACATATACAATAGCCTTTATTTATATAATTTACTTACCCTATTTATGAAGTGTAGGGCCTATTCAGTTACTGCTATTTTATAAAATACACAATTACTTTAACAAAATTCTGGAAACAAAGTGATCCCTCGGAAGCATTAATCACAACAAAATAACGTAAGAATTGCAGACTCGGTTTGATTGAGTCTGTACATGAGGGATAATGAATAAGTGCAACATCCCTCACGCCCCCTAGCACCGGCTTGAGCGGTACTCAATTCTCAACACTTTATAGTGTTGGCACCAATGATCCCGAAGGACCAGAAAATATAACAACACTGAAGTGAAGTACGGGGCAACTTTTTACGGCTGCCACACAGCACTTGACACCTGCTGTTGTGAAGTACAAAATTCTGGAAACAAAGTGATCCCTCGGAAGCATTAATCACAACAAAATAACGTAAGAATTGCAGACTCGGTTTGATTGAGTCTGTACATGAGGGATAATGAACAAGTGCAACATCCCTCACGCCCCCTAGCACCGGCTTGGAGCGGTACTCAATTCTCAACACTTTACAGTGTTGGCACCAATGATCCCGAAGGACCAGAAAATATAACAACACTGAAGTGAAGTACGGGGCAACTTTTTACGGCTGCCACACAGCACTTGACACCTGCTGTTGTGAAGTACAAAATTCTGGAAACAAAGTGATCCCTCGGAAGCATTAATCACAACAAAATAACGTAAGAATTGCAGACTCGGTTTGATTGAGTCTGTACATGAGGGATAATGAACAAGTGCAACATTCATAGCTAAATTTTCGGCACTGAACCTTCTTCAGTTTAAAAGAACCACCGAAATCTATGTACGAAGAGGCACATATTCGTAATGTTACCGCTTTGACAATATTTTTTTATTCAGTGGTCTTATGTTATAACCTATTTAGTAAAGTTCAGAACTTATATGTATGCACATGTTTGACTATCATCATCATTATTACATCATCATTATTATTATTATTATGATATTGATTTTTCACATAATCTGTAAGATGTATGCCTCGGTTACTTGACCTACCGGAATTGCCCGAATTACCGGAATCCGCGGAGACTTTACTAGAATCGACCTGTAATTTTGTTATTAATGAATTTTTAAAGAATAATTTTGCTTTTTTATAAGATATAAACATTATAAATGATATGTCAAAAGATTTTGTGATTAAAAAATAGATCTAAGATCGGAGAGTTACTGCCATACTGCCGGATTCGTCGAGGGACTGTGATTTGGTTATTTATGCATTTTAATAATATTTGTTTTGCCAGGTTTTTAAAAACTTAAACGTTATAATTTGTCTCCAAAGAAAAAGTGAAAAAAATATCGCTTTTAATTAACATTAACAGTGAAAATATTTAAAATCGGCGGAAACGGGTAAACTGCCGGAATCGGCGAATTCATTACCGAAATCGGCCTGTAGTTTGCTTATTTATGAACTTTTAACCAATTTTCTTGCATCTTAAATTAAATAGAAAACGATATCAATGATATGTAAAACGATTTTTGTAAATATTATCACTATTGATTAATAAAACAAGATATTTAATATTCAGCAGGTTACTGCCTTACTGTCGGAAGGTTTACCGGAATCAGCCTAAAATTTGTCTTTTTTTGCACTTTTTAACGTTTGTTTTTTGCTTTTTTATTAAATATAAACATTATCTATCATATTCAAAATAAGAATTTTGTAATTCACTTTTGATAAATAAAACAATCGAGTTACTGTCATACTGCCAAAAAAGTCGAATGATTAACCTCTTTTGAATTCCTGCCAAAACGTCATTACATTCACAGACGCTTGGGGGTCAGATCCTGCCCCCCCCCCCCCCAACGTGATACGCCCCTGTAAACACTCTACCAAAAGTATTTTAATATTTAAACACGAATGGGACATCTAATAAAACGATAAAAATGGTTTTCAAACATTTTTCACATTTCAAACAATTTTTACATATATGAAAAAAATCCGTATACCATCAAGTCTACTTTATTGAGACTTGATGGTATACGGTATTTTTTCATATATGTAAAAATTGTTTGAAAACCATTTTTATCGTTGTATTAGATGTCCCATTCGTGTTTAAATATTAAAATACTTTTGGTAGAGTGTTTACAGGGGCGTATCACGTTGGGGGGCAGGATCTGACCCCCAAGCGTCTGTGATTACATTAAAAAGGGAGACCACTTGGAAACCCACGTTCGTTGATTTATTAATGTCTATGTACTCGGTATATAGATTTTGTCATGTCTTTAATATTCCACGGGAATACAGCTTAAATTAATTTTATACGAAACAAATAATTTTGAATCTTCCAAAACTCGAATACTGGATATTTTCGTGTTTCATATGATATTTGTCGGCGATCACCGCGGAGAACCTACTTTTAATATTTTAAGATGACGTTTAAAAACATATTGAATTAAAAGAAATGAAATATTAAATAAAAAATAATACGTAGGAAAAAAGGAAAAAACATGTACACACAAAAAAGTCGGCATTGTTTAAGTCGAAGTTTTTTTTGGGTTTTTTTAGTATTTCAAAAACAGAATCATCATTATAAATACGATATGATGCAGAGGCTAAAAATGTTTATATTCTGTTAAAAAACTAAAATACAAAAAAGAACACTAAACAGATTTAGTAAAAAAAAATTTTCATGTTACGGATTTGTTTTCTCTTGCAGTGGGTATATATGCTCGATTAATTTAAACTAACCGTAGTCATTTTAAAACTAGTAATTTGTTTTCAGATAAAAATATTTCCAACCTTTCCGCTTACATGTAAGATTTACTGTTTTTAATTGAAAAAAATAGGAAAAGGCAAGTGATCAATTCAATAAATTTTCGGATAATTTACACTAGTATTTTATCTTCCCTGTAAATGGATTTAATACCACATATTCCACCCATTGTCAGACCCTTTAAAGGCTGTTCAAGTTGGCTGTGTGGAAGCCTGTAAAAAAGTTGCCCCGTACTTCACTTTCAGTTGTTGTTATAATTTTCTGGTCCTTTCCCGGGATCATTGTAATGCCAGCAACTATTAAGTGTTTGAGAATTGAGTAACGCCGCTCAACCCCGGTGCTAGGGGGCCGTGAGGATGTTGCCACTTATTCCATTATCCGTCCATGTACAGACTCAATCAATCGAGTTCTGACCAATTCCCTTATGTAATTTTTTGTTGTGAATTAATGCTTCCGGAGGGGTCACTTTTGTTTCCAGATTTTTGAATATTTAGATTACATATCTAACAACATTAAAAACATAAAA